GATTTAACTACTTATATCTAAAGTACTGGAAAAAAATGCAATAAACCATAAAAATTTAAATTTTTATGGTTTCATAATTTTCACCCTAGAGAGGCTCCTGTACTTGTACTTTCCTTGCAATATTATTTTAAACACAAACCAATTAGTAACTGGGTATTTAAAATATGATAATGTATTCCACAGCCTAGCATGATTGAATACACAGGAGTAGTTTTTTGTTGCTTGGAAGAAATTTTATAATATTTAATTATTGCAATTAATTTAAATAAATGTATTGCTGTTTAATTAGAAAAAACAAACCAATGGTTACTCTCTTTGCCCTCTCTGAGCAATGTACATGCAAAGTGTAGAAGATGTCTTTTGCATGTATGTATGTATGTATGTATGTATGTATGTGCACATTGTCTGCAAGTGTGTATTTATTTTATTTTGGACACATTAAAAAACACTTTAAAAACCCCAATGAAGTGGTTTTGGTGCACAATTTATTTCCTTTTTTCTCACAATGTAAAACACATTGATATTTTGAAAACACGATGAAGAGGTTTTGGTGCATAAATTACATACTTTTTTTCCTTACAATGTAAAACATATTTACATTTTGAAACCACAATGAAGAGGTTTTGGTGCATATATTATTTCATATTTTTCTTACAATGTAAAACATAACATTTTAGCTAAACTATGCCTCTAGACTGAAACTGACAGTCAATAGAAGTGCTTCATTATTGAAGATTTCGGAGGTCTTCCTCTTCAGCGTCACCAAGCACAGCCTGATGATGCTGAAAGCTTAAAAGCTCTGAAGGCCCCCAATACTTCTGTATGAGAACCAATGGATTGAATCAAAGATATAAGTATTAATTATGTCAGAAGAGACTGTCGAGAGGACAGTCTTGGCGCTGCATTACATGTCAGTTAAATTGCTTTTTTTTTTTAATTTTCATTACAAATAAGGGGTCCTGAATCAATAATGAGAATTGAATACATCTAAAATTGAAATAATATATTTACCAATCTACTTGTGTTGGTTACCCAAGGCATCGTTTTGCATTCATACCCTCAAGACTGACAAACAAGCCAGAATTTCATTATTATCCCTACTTTAACGTATCTACGTTGTGGTTCAGCCATCACACCACTTACATGGCTAGGGATCACCTGACTCCTTGTCTAATGGCGGAGTCTGAGTTCAGGAATGACCATGGTATGCTGTCTGATTAACTGTTTGATTTTAAAAGATTAATCCTGCACCCTTGATGTATACATTTTCCAGAATGTTTCCAAGTAAAATGTGAGATATGGTCACCATGTCATTTCGATGTCTTTGTTACAGTGATATTAAAGGAACACTATAGTCACCTAAATTACTTTAGCTAAATAAAGCAGTTTTAGTGTATAGATCATTCCCCTGCAATTTCACTGCTCAATTCACTGTCATTTAGGAGTTAAATCACTTTGTTTATGTTTATGCAGCCCTAGCCACACCTCCCCTGGCTGTGATTGACAGAGCCTGCATGAAAAAAAACTGGTTTCACTTTCAAACAGATGTATATTACCTTAAATAATTGTATCTCAATTTCTAGATTGAACTTTAATCACATACAGGAGGCTCTTGCAGGGTCTAGCAAGCTATTAACATAGCAGGGGATAAGAAAATCTTAATTAAACAGAACTTGCAATAAAGAAAGCTCTCTTTACAGGAAGTGTTTATGGAAGGCTGTGCAAGTCACATGCAGGGAGGTGTGACTAGGGTTCATAAACAAAGTGATTTAACTCCTAAATGGCAGAGGACTGAGCAGTGAGGCTGCAGGGGCATGTTCTACACACCAAAACTGCTTAATTAAGCTAAAGTTGTTCAGGTGATTATAGTGTCCCTTTAATGTAGGTGCAATTAGAATTTTCCAGATATTTTACTATTTATAGAAGATTGGCTTTGGTCTGTTCAAACTTGGAGCATCCATGATAGGGAACAAGTCTTTAAATTTCCCCAGGGTTATTCATTAAACCTAGAAATTGCAAATTTAAGGCCATGCTACCTGAATTTGTGAGTTTTTGAATTTGGTCTAAAATATACACTTCCATTCAACAATGGCACTCTTACTGAAAATCCCTGACAGAAATAGATTGTCAGCACACTTGGCGTGGAACAATAAAGGGGTCTTGCAAAAGGAATTTTAACAGAAATTTAACAATTTTAGGCAATGTGGCCTAACTGGATAATGTTCCCATTTTTCTATATTGGCCCTCTTCATTTCTCTGCAATTACAGGTCTAGTGAAGAAGCCTACTTTTCTGTTTCTTTTTGAAACCAAGTACTGGTTTGAGTTAACGGTATCTGTATTCTATGAATTTGTATTGGTATCACATACAGAATACTAAACTCATTCCTTGACTGATGTATAACTGCTAGTTTCAGATTTCTCACAATGGAAGCCCACATTGCAATGTTCGAGTCCGGCCTGCCACATTTTTCATCACCATATTTTCTAGTGTCAGAGCTACCACACAAGTTGAGCTCTAAACTTGTATGTTAATAAAGAAATCCTTCCTCACCCAATCATTTTAGTATGTGTCCATTTTATTTTTAATTCTATATCACTTTGGCACCAAATGTATTGCAGACAGGCATAATGAGGAAGATACAAGACATCAAGCACAACATTTCACTGAGAGAAACATTGCTGGTTACTTTATTAAGAAAATATCGTGTGCTATGACTGGAGAGGTTTACTCCTGGTTAAAATAGCATTTAGTACAATTATATATATTTCATGTACATATTTCTCACTGTCTCTCGGTGTCTCTCTATTATTGTTGTTCTGTTGTCTCTTTACATTTCAAGACATAAAAGCAGTTGATTTGGATTACACAAGATTTGCATTGTATTAAGGTAGTTTATAAGAAAAGCTAGTCATGGCCATGTATGATCTAGTACATAAAGCATAATGAAGGCAATGAGCTCATCCACTCTGCATGAATTATAGTGCAGGAACAGCTAAATAGATGTTTCTCTGGCAGCAAAGTACATGGATCCACCCCAGTTGTCATTAATGCATGGCAATGCAGCACAGCTAGCCATGCTTTTATATTACATTATAGTGTACATTATATAGAGAGAGAGAGAGCGAGAGAGATATGGCACGGTGAGCCAAACCATGACTATACACCATATGCACATATAGCTCCACCTTCTCTGCTATTATAAACCACCTAATTATGATCTTATCTTTAACCCTTTATCTACCGTAAAATCAAGCAGGCTTATCAGGAGTTAATCCTTTCAATGTAAAAAGAAACTGACCTTCTGGCTTTCACAGTGTTAAGTGCCACCCAATATATACCAGCCTATATTCTAATTCCCAACGAGCCATCACTCCTCACCCCCTAGCCAGGTGGGATACTGTGGATCCTACTCACCAGAAGAGGAAGTTGGCGAAGATGAAGGTGATCAGGGTCCGGAGGGGCCTCTGCCAGGTCAGGGTGTCTCGGACATGCTTTAACATGTCACCCTCCGTGGACTCTGGGCTGCCCACACTCTGCCACCCTTTCATGTCCTCTGGCGCCAGGTGGGTGTCACTGGGTTCTATGGCCTCAGACATTCTGAATGTGGAACGTTCAGCAGTGCCCGCCGTGTGCCAATCCCCCCTCCCGGCAGCATGCAGCAGATCCAGCCAGGGTACCGGCTTACCCCATGCGTGGAAGGAAGGCCCGTAGGTCTTACGTGCTGTGTATGCCCGCAGGCCTGCCCACCTACTGGAGGAGGATGCTTCAGAGCTGGTTGGAGGTGCTGGGGGCTGGCTGGTGCTTCCTGTACACACTGCTGATGGCAACACTGTCAAGCATACTGATACGAATAAACATGGGCAGTGCTGGCAGTCACCCTGTGCCTGTTTGTAACAATACATATTTGAGGTGGGGTTTATTTACTAAAGGAAGAATTTCTTTGCTATTTTTGACTAAAATGTGCATTGCTTGATGCATTAAATCTTGCAGCATGACTTAAATGCATAACTACTGCAGCATTTCCCTAATTTCTAATCCAGAGCACTGAGGAGAAACTGAGCTTAGTAATATTAGCGTGTAATAGATGCATTAATAAATCACTTTTGCTTAATTTGTTTAAGTGCTCAACTACTCAAATAGAAAATGCACAACATACTGTATAGTTACCAACTGTCCCATTTATTTTTTTCAGGGGCAGTACAAACTCCTTGGCTCAGTCTTAAAGGGACACTGTAGGCACTGTTCCATGGTGCCATCCTTTCATTCAGCTGTTAAAGCAGCATTGTCACCAAAGGTGACATTGCCGCCAGGGAGCCGGGGGCGGGCAGGCAAAAGAGAGTACCACTTGCCTGAATCTGTCCCTCACGGGCACTGCTTTTTTCTTCCTACGAGTTCTCTTCTCCCTTGCGCATCAGCACCTGTACCCGACATCACTGCTCGAGAGTGCAGAGCATTGCTTTAGAGTGCAGCATTGAGGTCTATGGATAAAGCCAATGCCCTGCCGCAATCACCGATGACGCTTGGGGAATTGACACTTCTAGATGGGGCTAGTTCCACCCAGTATCTAGAAGTGTCAGGCGTAGGAGAAATACTGAGGCAAAGTTGTCCCTTTTTTGTCAAAGTATTGACTTGGTTGAAATTTCAATAAAATTTCAGCTCAGTCAATATGAGTATTTCATAAAGTTTGTATCTTTATGAAATAATCCTTTTTCCCCCCCGGTGATGACAGTGCCGTTTTAACACTAAACAAAACCCCCAGTTGTCCATCCTTTATGTGCTGCTTACAGTAGCAAGGAAGCATTAGCCTGAGCAACAATGGGTGGCTGTAATTTTACTGCATGAAAGTAGGCTTCATATTTTGCATTCACTTTCTTTACTAACTCCACAGCAACAAACAAAAAAACAGTTGAAATAAAGAACCAATCAAAACACAGTCAGAGTGTATATAAGGGAAAGCATATCCAAATAACTTCCTCTTTCTTTGCTGCTCTATTACAAGTCAGGTCAGAGTACTGGTTCACTGTTTATGTTTTAAACTGTATCTACTGTATGGGATTATTATATCTCCTTCCGGTGGAGGTGACGGGGGGCTATCCTTTATCCCCACATCTCTCTTGGGTCTATGTATTTCTCTTTTCTTGTAGGCATTCTGTCCCTTCTCTCCCCAGGCCCTCTCTTCCCTGAGGCAGCCTAACCACCCTCCACTGTGGCTATTTTCGCCACTTTCCTTGAGTTTCCCGCGCCGTTTGCATTGATTTCAATGCGTTTGGGCAGGGAATTCTTTTGATTCGTGCAGATTGACAAGAACGGGCCGTTCGCGTTTTTTTCAGGTCGCATCTATTCCTGTACATCAGCATTCGGTGGTTAGCGCAGGAACTGGCCGTTTGTGGCCACCAACGTCATCAGGTCCGCTATATCGGCAGCCCACATACAGGTCCAAGGGAGGGCAGTCGGTCAAGACTCCCTGATTTACGAGGCATTAGACTTAGACGTCCTCCAGCTTCCAAATACCAACATCTGTGGGATGTGCATGTAGTGCTTCGGTTCTTGAGAGAATGGTCACCTAACGAACTTCTGTCCTTACGACAATTGATTGCCAAATGTACCTTTCTACCGTGTCTTGTCTTGTTCCACTGAGTCTTGGATGTGCGCGCTTTCGACGTGGATGCTTTTTTTTCGATCTCTCCTGAGGGAGTCACATTCCGTATTTCACAACTAAGTCGGATTCGTTGTCGGTCTTCTAACCATTCTTTGCCTTGGACCCTCAATTTTGCGTGGGAACAGCATTGAGGGCATATGTGAAGGCAACGGAGACTGGTTTCATACGCCAGTCCTCACGGTCCGGTTTCAGTCATCACTCTGTCTAGATGGATTAGATGGCTCCTTACATTGGCCGGGATTAACCCATTTTTCGGGGCCCACTCTGTTCGCGGAGCTGCAGCATCATCGGTTTTATGGCGGGTGTGTCACTTTCAGATATCTAACAAGCGGTGGACTGGTAACGCAAATTCACATTCAGGACATTCTACTTCTGTCCATCGTCCAACGCTGCGTTTTCTCTGCTTACTAAGCATTACAATTAAAGCCTCCTGGCCAAAATATGAAGCCTCCTGTCATGTGGTAAAATTGAAGATTATATTAGCGTAGTGTATTAATAATCTTAATGATGATGGGGGCAAATATCCCCCCCCCCCCTTTGTTGTTTGTCAGTACCCATGTATGAGGTAAGTTATAGGGTTACAGGACTCTTGGGGTTTGTTGTACCTTATGGTATACTTTACATGTATGAGATATATGATCGTATAGGAATTTTAATTCTTGCATGTGGGTATATTATAGTTATGTTCTCAGCTGATAACGTTAAATCATTTTAGTTATATTTATATCTGATTACGTATGCTCACTGCTCTATGTTCATACGGTTGGTTCCATATAATTGAAACTAGTTTCCTTTTCTTTCAGCTTAACCCGTCTATGGATAGAAATTTGATTACCCTTTTCGTTTTCAAGGCTGAATTTGGATTTTGTACAAAGTTTCTCGTTTTGTTATGAACTTGTGATGTCGCATTTGTAAAGAGGAAGTGCTCTGGATAGGCTTTCCCTTATATACACTCTGACTGTGTTCTGATTGGTTCTTTATTAACAGTTTTTTCTTTGCTGCTATGGCATTAGTAAAGAAAGTTAATGCAAAGTACTCGCCTCCTGTCATTATTAAAATTAAAATTATTAATACACTACGCTAGTATAATCTTCAATTGGAGAGTGTCAGCTGACCACTTGCAGCCTATCAGAGCACCCATTGGTATGAATGGTTATGGCTAGAAGGAAGTGTGTAATCTCTGTGTTAGCCAAACCTTCAGGGGCCCTTATTTATTGCAAAAGGAATACTAAAGTGTTAGAAATACAAAGCTGAATTAAAAGTAACACTAAAGTGTTCCCTTATCCACGAAGTGAATAGGTTAAATAGCCCTTTCTTTCACCCACCTTATTCCAGCGCCACCTCCACCTCCGTCGATGTCAGTGCCAAGGGGGAACCTAATGTTTCTCTAAAACTGCAATTGTTTACATTCCAGTACTAAGTGGTACTGATACCGGAGAAACTGACGGAAGCAAAGCACAGAGGGATGGACACAGGTTTCTTCAGGAAGGAAGAGATTCTTTATTGGATCACCGATCGGGACTCAGAGGGACTAATGTCACCAAAAATACAGCAAGTTCTGAGCCCTGAACAATAGTGCAGGCTCCCTATATAGGCACATAACTCCTCCCATATTAAGCTCCACCCGCACATTCTCTTGACCAATCATTACAAATAAGAATTAACTTCCTGCTTGACCGCATGGCTTGTCCAGCACAATGGAGGAGGGGAATACTACATCCTGTATTCTTGCACATGCTCCGTACACTACTGATCGTATCTTGCCTCGTGCAACCAACTGATCGATACGTCAGCATATGCACGTACACATGCCACGTGGTAATCTCGGCCTACTAAATTTATTTTTACCGAGATTCCACCACATTCCCCCCTTTGATGCCTCTTGATATTTTACAATTACTTGAGGCATCACTTAACCTTGGTTTGCATACACCACAAGTTACCTTTGAACCAGACCAGACTTATCCTACGATGTGAATCTTCAACACTCGTCTTCCTGCATTGGTTCTCCCTGATCTAGAGCCTTATATTTATAAATTGCCATTATCTGTGCAGCAGCCTTCCTCTCTGCTATATTTTCTATCAGGCTTTGCACAGACCTAACTACTAAGGGTATAAGACACGGCAGGAGTAGACACAACATTAAAATCAGTAGGACTCCACCTACCACTGCCTTAAGCCCTCCAAACCACTCATACCAGCTACCAAACCAACTACTTGGATTGTACCCTTTCCATACCTGAGTAGGCACATGCGCTAGTTTAACCATATGGCTAGTAAGCTCAGCTATTGCTTGCCCTTCGTCATCTATTTGAAGACAGCAATTGCTCAGGTTAAACTTCCCACATACACCTCCCTCTACTGCCAAAAGATAATCCAAGGCTAATCTATTTTGGTAAACTGCTGTCCTCATCCTGGTATTATGCTTCGCTAGAAGATTGAGCGCTTGTGATGTCTCGTTAGTAATGATCTCAACCACCGCCTGTAACCTTATAATGCGGTTGAGCATATAAATAGGGGTTCTATAACCAAAGGTACCATCCTCTGCCCACGTGGCTGGCCCATAATAATCTATAATACGCTGGGGAGGCCATTCATTATCTTCCCAGGCACCTATCTCTATGGGTCCCCTTTTCTTCCTATGATTCACATCATACACTTTAACACCTAAAGTCTCACCTGTTTCAATAGGCAACAAGAAGAAGGATGGTTTTAACATACCCAACACACATGCCCCTTCCCAGTCCTGTGGTAACTCCGAATAGGCCTTCTTACCACAGATCCAGTACAAATTCGCTGGGGCTCTCCAGTTAGATGTGATGGATAGATCAAACCATACGTCCTTTAAATTGGCATATCTTGCAAACGGGTTAGATGGTTCTGAGACATTTGAAGCCGACCACCAAGTTGTATTCTTTGTATCATCATCATAAGCTTTTTGCCCTAGACAAGTTAATTCTCCTACAGAAGTATTATACATCATTCCTTTCCTCGCTATGCAAACATAACCTATGATGGAGGTCTTCAATCTCCACTCAGATTTACCTCTAACACTCATATGATAGTCGGCTTGTGTAGATATTAATTGGTCAACTGCCTCAGAACCGGACATTACCTCCTTTGCTTCCCAAGGCCATTGGTCTCCCATGTTAGTACCTCCACACACATAGCAGTTGGTAACATTAAGACTACCGGCAATACTCTCGGCTAAATCAATGAACAAGTTTTTAGCATTATGGGGGATCTTATTATCTATGCTCATCTCTTCATAAAAGGAATGGTATACTTGATGAGTTTGGGAGGTTACCGTATCAGTCTCTATCCCTATAAACAATATTGTCCCAGGGTCTAAACCCGTCCCATATATTTGAAACCCAAATAAATTACCATATTTATCTAAGAACTTGTCAGGGTTATTTATAAGTATATGGATTGGATTGCATTCCATAGACTTACAATATGGATTAGTAGGCAACTTAGTCACAATCATGTCCTTGTCTGCTGTCTGTCCCCAAGTCGCCCACCCCACACAAGACCAATATGGGCAGAAGTTATAATCTCTATTTGGGCATCTTGGACTTACATATTTATTTTTACTACTGGGACAAATATATTTATCGTTAGACCCATACGTCCTCTCCCATCTAAGATCCCCACATACATTCCACGGCTTTCTACCACTTGATATTGCTTTACACGCATCAAATAGCAGAGCACCTGAAGAATATACGGATTTTAATACCGTCTTATTAATTAGGGTCCCCTGAGAATCTCCATTTCTGAGAGTCAACCAAATTGTACGGGGTTGATACTCAGGACTGAAGCACTTAGGTTCTCCTACTCCTAAATGACACACACTATATTCTATATTTAAGTATCTACATCTTGATACATCTCCTTTACACTCATATTGCGAATGCCAAATTAGGGTCTGGGATATATGGTTACCTGTTCTTGTAGTCTTAATGCATACCTCACAGCTAGGAGTGTTGGTACCTCTACCTTCCTGAATATAAAAATACACATAAATAAACATTATTAAAAATACATCTTTCGTCGTCATCCTCAGTCTTCGTCCGTGTGAAGGCACCTCAGCTTCCAGGATGTAAGGACTGCAGGGAATGGAGTTCTGCTCGTCTTCACAGGGGTCCCCTCAAGACTTTCCCTGACTTATACACTCGTTGGTGAGTGGACAGGCTTTATTATGGCCTTCTCACTCACTTACCAAGTCTCTGAAACAATAAAATTTGTAATCTACAAGGTTCCTCGTCACTCCGACTGAGTCGTGCGTTTTAACCGGATCTTGCAGGGATTCTCTGGATTTGCTGTAACTTGCCAGGAATCGGCTGCTGCTGGTTTAACCCTGGAGTGATGTATCCACGGAGCCACTTCGGCTACTTTTATCGCTGTAGGGGTAGACAGAAGAACAACATAAGGACCTCTCCACTTGGGCCCTAACGGCACATTATTCCACTCTTTAATCCACACTTGGTCGCCTGGGTGGTAACTATGAATTGGGGATAAATATTCACAGGTAATCTATCTTGTACCCATTTCTGTACCTCCTCCATAGTCTTAC